ATCAAAGATAAGAGGTACTCACAAATTTGAGAAATCAGAGCCTGGGTAAAGGGGAGAGAGAGGGAGAGATTCAAATTTCTGCCATGGGAAAGAAAAGCAGAACTCAGCCTCTTTTGTGTGTGGAGCAGCAGCAAGCAGCCAGTTAACACAAACAGCCTGCCCATCGTCAAAAATACAGCTTGGGCTCAGCCACTGCTCCATCATCAGGGGAAGGTTTGAACTATCAGGCATCAGGACTAAGAAAAGAGAATTCATTCCTAGACTTAATGGATTCTGATGCACAAGGATCTTCTTCTTTTTCCTAGTCTAGTATCTGTCTTTACTGTACTTAAACTGTGAGCTTCTGAAACCTGCAAAGAAGATTTCAGTTTTTCTATCATTATAGATACTGATATTTTCTTTTATTGGAAACGATTACCACCAAACTAATTTATAAGAAAACAATGCATTTGTTACATATAACATTTAAGATTTGCCGCATTTCTAATACTCTCTTGACATCAATCAAATTTCTACCTGTGTAGCAGTAAAGAATAGGATCCTTTCTTACTAAGTAATCTGCAGGTAACTGAAAAATTTCTTTAACCCCAAAAGTATTGCTATCCAACATAAAAACTAGACATGGCTCTCTATCTAGGATTTTTTGTCTTTTTCTTTTAATCATATAAATATTAATTGTCAGGATTCAGAATAACGCAAAGAAGGTTTAAAGTACTTTTTACAAGGAGAATCTCTTACTGTCTGAAAATTACAAAATATTATTCCATCTCTGTTAAAAGAAACCCACTGCAGTTAAGGATTTCCTTCAGCCCTTTTGTGTTTATTTAAGGTGATTTAATAATACAGACTTGGCCAGGCAGGTTTCCCATATTGAGTCTATGACTTGATCACGAAAAAATGTCCTGTGCAGTACGAGCACACACTGAGTTTTCAAATACCCTGTCACTGTCTAAAACAGTCTGCAAAATTCCAACCTAAAGGTAAGTGGTGAGTCACCTTCCACTTGCTAATAAACCTCTGTGTTAGACCTACCCAGAGCATTTTCACCATTACAAGTGAAAACTCCCAAAATAAACACCAGGGTGGGATCTGCTCTGCCTCGTCCAGCCACCAAACCTGCACCTACTTTTTAAGGAGTTTGCTTTTGGGGGGTTTTCTGGGTTTGGATGTTGGGGTCTTTTTCAAACGTAAGTGATGCACAGGAGTGGAAACTTCAGTGTGTTTGGAAGTTCGGGGAGAAGAGTCTCCCTTGCACGTAATATTGGGTCCTGGTCCCCATTTTGAATTGATTCCAGCATATGGAGTTAGACATAACCCCTACGTTCCTCACGCAAGCAAAACTCCAAATGAATTAGAAGTTGCCTGAGCAAGACATATGAGATGAAGATGATTAACATACTAGATAATCCTTGAGTCGCCTTCCTATTAGAAAATAAATATAGAACTTTGTCTGAGCATTTTGTCTTTATATTACTTTTGTCGTGTGCCAGAATTTCCTCTGTGGAAGTTGAGCTGAAGGAGCAACGCCAACTAGTTTATTAAAAAGTAACAGTGAAATGTTCAAATAAAAGCTCCTCTCCCCATTGAGTCTTGTCTAAAACTGTGTTGGTTTCCCTGGGAGCAGAACGCAGTCCCAGGACGTAAAACCCCAGTCCCATCCTCCAGCAGTGTGGGCATCAGTTCCTACTGTAACGCCCCTTAAAATTCAGGGCTTGCTGATGAAACTGTTGATTTTTTTTTCAGACTCCAGAGCGAGAATAACTATTGGCACCAGTATCATTTTAGATAATTACAAATACATTTGCTCTTACAGATTATTGGCTTCAGAGGTAAAAGACTAGCATAACTTCCCATTTTGTTTACCCTTCTGTGTAGTGTTTTATTCCTATGATTTTTATTGAGCTTTTTCCTCAAAGCCTGGTATAAAAATACCTGCATTCACTCCCAAGGTTCCTGTCTCCCTCAGTAAGCTACAGTCGGACTCATTAACTTTTTTTTAAGACTGCTATGACAGACTCTTCAAAGTTCAAGTGTAATTGCCTGAATATAGATGAGTTTTCAGTAGCAGCCAAAGAAAATGTCAGAAACTCATTCCATCTGACATTTCTGAACTTCGAAAGGACTGAAAAAAGTGCCTGGCTGAGACTTTGCAAAACCAACCGAATTTTTATATTGATTTGTTTTTGCTGTCAGGGCTCTCTACTGGCCAGTTTGTCAGCCACATTTTTACTTTGGGATATTATTATTATTAATATTATTATTATTACGCTGCATGGGACCAAGAAGTCAGTTGGTTAGCATCTCTGATACCTGTAAAAAATCCTTAAGAAAGGAGATGGTTCTGGAAATCCAACAGTGCAAGTTCTAGATTGTTTTTGTGATTGACAGATCGTTTCCCATCAGTGACAACCATCTATTTTAAATTGTGGTCTACTGATGATGGGCTCACCGGAAGGTGCTTGCTGGTGGTCTACAGAAAGAGACTGGTCACACAGCTAGAAAATGTAGAATACACTCTATGATTTACTTTTTCTGCTTTGTTTTTTGATTTTAGAGCCAGAAGGAAATATATTTCAACTGCCTACACACAACAGGCCACAGAATTCCATCCACAGTACGGAGGTGTACGACTAAAATTGGTCTAAGATACCTGCTTTAGGAAAGAGTGAATCTTAGGATCTTTCAGTTAAATTCAAATCCAAATTTTCTGGAGTAAAGTCGAAGTAAAAGGGAAATCTGGTTGTGCCAAAACTTAGTAAAGCCCAAACGCTGTGGTCACAAGAAGGGGGAACGTATTCCATATCTGAAGTTTGCAGCAAGATGTGGAAAATGGTCCTTCAGGTCAGTAAGTATTTATTCACATATGACAGCAAGACTGGGGCTGGTAGAGACCGCTGGTTTTTTTCTTGTATTTGTCAAAACATAGGGGTTTTTTTCCCTATAGTTTGGCTGTAACATCTACTGGGTTTTTTCTTGTATTTGTCAGAACATAGGGGTGTTTTTTTTTCCCTATAGTTTGGCTGTAACATCTTACAAAGTCCAACTTTGTTGTCTCGTTGCTTTTAACTAAGGGTAGCCTTTCTTAAGTATAAATTGCTTTCCTCTCTTGCTTTGCAAGAGAGCTCCAGAAGACTTACAGAGGGCAGCCTGGTAAACACAGACACAGAATATTTCCACTCTGATCTGTTGAAACAAGTTGTCTCTATGTTTCCCAGGTTTTTCTTTTGTTTTGTTTTGGTTTTTTTTGCTTTTATGGGTGCTAGTTAGTTCCAAACTTCTTGCCTTATTTTCCTCCTTATGGGTGTGGACATAGCTTTAGTTTTTATGTCTACATTGACATGACCTCAGCCTGACAGTACATGATGGGAAGCTGGAAGATTTATTGGCAGATGAGAGCCTGTTGGAAGAAAAGCTGGATAGTGGTAATTGGAGAATGAGTCAGTGTCTGGAGTCCAGCTGTGCTTGCTACACAAGCCTGACTAGAGAAATCCAAGTTACTCAGATTTCTTCCACTATCTGAAAATGGCTTTTTCAAAAAAAAAAAAGAATAGGCTTTATGTATGCTGGATGCATTTTTAGCTGGGAACATTTGTTTAAGGCAGCAAATTATCTTTATTCCTTCTTACTGTTGTTAGTGTTGCAGTGGAGTGTAGGAGCCGTGCTCTTGGAGAAGCAATTTGTTTTGCACGCGCAAACCAGCACGGCTGAAAGAAGTTGTGGCACCAACATCTCCAAATGCACCCACACCAGTTTGATAGGCACTGAGTTCCCTGACTAATATTGTTAAAACACCTGCATCCTGACCCTGGGAGGCAAAGCATTGCTGTTTCTTATTGCACGTGTTCACAGTGGTAGAAGCTTCAGAAGCACAGCAGCATCAGTTCCTGGCTGGTATTATTTTAACCAGAGAGTTGAATTATGAGGCTTGTTTCATCAACATCCCCCCCCAAAATTGAAGTTCTAACCTTTGAATAATACATTTTTTTAAAGGAAAAAGGCATTTAAATGTCTTTAGATAATATTGTCAAATTAAATACTGAATTTGAAGCAAATTTTATAAAACTAAGCTCTTATAAATCCAGAATTTTTTATCTCTTTTTCCATATGAATAAAACCACTTACTTCTAAGTGAAATATTCCTCCCAGATTGCAGCAAGAACCTCAAAGGATTACAGTGGATATTTGTTACCTAATTTTGCTGTCGAGACAAAGAAAAACAAAGAGTAAACTCATTGTGAGTAATTCACATTTTTCCATTTCTTTGCATTTTAATAATTCCTGAAAGTTTAGAAACATAATTAAGGCATTTCTTTTTTCAGATATAAGATGCATGACAGTGCACACACATTGAAGTTGCCCACTTTCTCATTTCAGGTTTTGGCGTATTCCTTGCAATTATAACTCTTGATAAGTGGACCAAAAGTTCAGGAGAGCAACCCTGACAAGATGGTGTATCTTGTATTTGTTACAGGCGTTAATAACACTATTTCTGGAATTTTAGACCCACTTGAGAATTTAAATAAGATAAAAACAGAAGGGAAATGATAACAAGCCATGTCATCCATTCTTCTCTGTCCCCATTACTCCACAGAGATGTTACAGAACTATTAATTCCAGCTCTGGGTAGCTATAAAGCCAGCAGTGCCTGCTGTGGTGGGGAGAGCTGAGCAGCTTTGTTCAAGCTGGGAATGGAGAGGGACCCACACAGGCTGCAGGAACAGGTCCCTGAATAAAGAAGATCCCCCTGAAGCATCTGGGACCTGGCGTAATTCCTGAACTCTCTATGGCAGTAGTACTTATTATTTATATTTATCATATTATTATCATATCATTATCATATTATCATATTTATCATATTGTTATCATATCACTATAATATTTATCATATTCTTTTGAATCTACCTTTATGAGGAGGAATCATTCACCACCATTACCAACTCAAATAGCAAATTCCTCTTCTGCAATTGCATTAGCAACAGTCTGCCAAGGCAGCCAGCAGAGCTCAGCTGTGTGGACAGTATTTGCTACTCAAATAAGTGAGTCCTTGTCTTTGCCACAAAATGTCAGGTGGAATGGGGACAATGCTGGTAGGTCACATGGTGCCCATCTCGCAAACTTATAGCACATCGTTTCTGAGGAAAAAAACAAGATAATTTTGTCACAATGCTGCTTACTCAGTTCTCTGGCATGTCTTACAGAAGAAGGTATTTTATTTTAAGGTCTCTTAAGAATTAGAACTACCAGAATTCGGTTTATAGACTATTCCATATCTCACATGGTTTCTCACACTATATTTTCACATTACAATAAATTCAGCAGTGATGCCAACAGAGGCATTTTCTCTTGTTCCCATGTGATGATGTGCCACGCTGTGAAGCAGATCAGGGACCTGAGTTGGCTTTAAGAAAAAGATTTAGTGTTTTTTGAACACTAGTTGAGTTCATAATCCAGTTTCCATTGTGAGCACACAAACCGTTGTTACAGTGTGACTAAAAAGTCCCTCCCCATCTTTCTTACAAGCCCCCTTTAAGTACTGAAAGGCTGCAGTAAGGTCTCCCTGGAGCATTCCCTTCTCCAGGCTGAGCAGCCCCAACTCTCCCAGCCTGGACTCACTCCAACAGGTCCATGTCCTTTGTGTTCTGAGGGCTCCAGAGCTGGATGCAGTACTATAATCACTAAGGAAGATAAAGATGAACTCCTACTAATGCTAAGGTGACTGAAAACAAGTCAGTAGGCAAAGAGCCTCACTACTGAAAGAAATTTAAAGCTACTTAAGTAGAAAATACAAATCTAAAGCAAGAGGACCACTGTGTGTTAGCCCCATGAGTGGGACATTGGATTAAAGTGCCAATATTCGTTCATAGCAACCATCACTAAGGGCATCAGTCATCTAAAAATGTGATATAAAAATGTGGACAGATAGATATCCTTCTCCAAATGAAGTAAAAGTGGGTTGTTTTCCATCTGGGATGTGGATAAATGAAATGTTGAAGTATTTGGTGAAAAATGTCAGTAGCCATTGGTCTTTTACAGTCGCTTTCTGCACCTGTCACTCAGTCACATCAGGGCAATGCAGAACACAGGTTGGTTATAGGTCTTTTTACACAGGTATGTGCATCTGTATAACGTGCAGGAGTGGCAAATACTGGAGCAGCCCAAGCACCTACTTAACGCATCTGTTTCTGACTGTGATTGGTACCAGATGCTGCAAAGGAAATTTCCACAGAATCCACGAGGCAAGCAGTCATGGAAGAACTGATCCATATGAGCAGTTTCTTCCTAACTTTGCTGTTTGGCTGGTACATGCCCTGAAGAATTGCATCTGACACCCTTTCCAAATTCACTCTCTCCCATTACCTTCATAATGTCTATATTGTTTATCAGACCCTGTACCTTTCTTTCTGTACCCTGCTGCAAGCTCGCCCCACCACCAGGGCTCTCACAGTCTGTGAATGATTCCTCCTAATAAAAGTAGATTAAAAATAATATAGATAGATGAAACCCAAATAATATAGATAGTTAAACATCTCAAAGATGATGTCTTCACACATGTTGTCTGAAAATCGGCACCTAAGTAGATGAAAGAGACCTAGATAAATGAGTGTGTTCACCAGAGGCAAGACAGCAGAAATCATCTGTCACTTTTGAGAGCCACTCAGTGTCCAGGCTGTGCTCACCACATGTACTGTCTTCTTCTGGCAGTGAGGAAGAAAAGAAGGACCTCGGAAAAAAGAATGGGGAAGAGGGTGAGGTTGTTCTGTGTGAAATGGAGCAGAGGGTCGTAGGCATGCTAAGGGGAAGAAAAGATCATAGAATCATAGAGTGGTTAGAGTTGGAAGGGACCTTAAAGACCATTGAGTTCCAACCCCCCTGCCCTGGGCAGGGACACCTCCCACCAGACCAGGTTGCTCCAAGCCCCATCCAGCCTGGCCTTGAACCCCTCCAGGGATGGGGCATCTACAACTTCCCCTGGGCAACCTGGTCCAGTGCCTCACCACCCTCACAGCAAAGAATTTAAAGGTGGTGATCCATAACTAGCCAAGTTGTACGTGTTCTCCTAATGACAGAAGAAGTGCTGCAAGCTTGCCCCACCACCAGGGCTCTCACAGTCTGTGAGCCACAGGCCAGCTCTGACACCACGGCTGCTCAGACTGCCAAAAATGAGCTGGGAGTCTGTACAGAGACAAGAAAAATGAAAATTAGAGGTAGAGCTGGAACCGGCAAGACAAGACTGTTAGCCATCCCTCAAGGGTTCAAGAGGGAAAACACCAGCATGAAAAGGTGTTAAATCCTAAATGAGAAGAGAGAGGGATGCTTGTCAGCCCAGGGACTAGTCAGGAGCTACTGGACCAGTGTCAGGAGTGTCGGTGGAGCTGGTGTGGGTGGCAGCTCAGCAGCCCTGTACATCCATTGCAGGGAGCTGTGGGACCACCCTGTCCTCCTCCTCATGACCGATGCCTGGTTGGGCAGCAGCTCCCCTGGGTGCTGTATCTGGAGCAGTGAGTTTATGAATCCTTAACCTAAGAGGTCATTAAATCCAGGCTAATTTTTGTGTGAGTCAATAAGCACTCGCTTAGTGGTTCTAAATTGTGCATATTTCTGCATGAGGCTACACACACCCAGAGAAACCAACACTAAATAGGGACCATAACAACTGATGAGCACTTACTTCTCAAGACTTAACTCTACTGGACTCTTGACCTCAGTAATTTATTGAACGATCAAATCCATGGATTATGTGTTGTATAAAACACTCGTGATTGTGTAAACTGAGAGAAATGACACATTTGTGAGTCTGTGCTGCAGATGCCTGATTGAAGCAAACCTTTTTTCAACAGGCTGTTTTGTATTATTTTTGAATCTCTGCGACAGCAGCCAGTTCCTGCCCCTTGATTTGATCATGCTGCAGTGATTCAACCCCTGGCATTTTTAGCAGATTCACCACAGGTCATTAGCTGTGACGTGTGTGTACAGTTTATTGAGTAGATAGCCCACAACTCTGCCTATTTTGTTTTTACAAGCATTTTTGTTCAGTTACACTGGGGCAAAGCAGTCAGCAGGAGAATATTTCATGAGGTCATCTTTTGCGGTAGGTTGGTTTTTTTTTTCAGTAGCAATGAGAATTTCTGAAACAGAATATTGTTGCTAATTACTTTCACTCACCTAATTTAGCCATCTAAAGGCTAAATGTCTGGTTTAGCTTATTGACATGGCTGCCTCGGTGATTAGGGGGGGAGAAGGGGCAGAAATCTCAGAGAGCGAAAGATCTCCAGTGTATTTTTGACATTTACTTTATCCCAAGATGAATCACCCTCCAGGAGTCCTCCCTCTTTCTGCTGAGCACAGAGGTAGTCAAAATGATAAATTCAAATTGGATGCCCACCCTTGCTCTTATGCAGTGTACGTACGAAGTTCTCTGCAGATGGACTGCAGAGAAAAAACATTACATAGACCCAGCTTGAAATCCCAGGCAGCTGACACATATTATTTTAGAGATATAGGAAGCAAAGTTGAGATTTTCTACTCCAAACCAAACAAAACCCCAGATCTCTGTCTTTTGCATTCTTATGATGAAAGCGGGATGAAGCTTCACTGAACTTGGTAGACATAGTTAGTCTTTTGCATGGCTTTTCAGTTCAAGGTAGTTCAGCTTCTTTTGTGGGTTGGTTTTTTTTGGGGGGAGGGTGGAATTTCAGTAGGACCCATCCCCAAAAGCTCAGGCCACAAGTCCACAAGCGAGGCCGTGAATGTGGTTTTGCAAATGGTCATCATATTTGAAGAAATATGGAGAGTCCATATTTCTGGAGAGTCCAAACCCGAGGAAAATAAAAAATGTAAAATTACAAAGAGGAAGACTGATAGGGAGGAGTGGGAACCTGATGATTTTCAAAAACCACCACAGAGGAAAAGCAATTATCACAGCAAGGAAAATTTCAGGGTAGACATCTGTAAAAACCTTTTCATAATAAAGAAGTCCCTGGGGGAGTTGCCAAGTTTTCATTACTGGAGCTTTTTAAAACTAAACAAGACAAATACCTTCACAAATGACTTAGGCATAGGTGCTCTGCCTCAGGGAAAAAGAAATACAACAAATATATCCTTCCTCTCTAGTCTTTCATTATCTGAATAATTTCTTACTTCTAAAAAAATATATCTTATTTCTCTGTTTCCTATAAATTTCTTATAAGTAAGAAGTGGGTTGACAGGAACTTCATGAAGTTCAAAAAAAGGCAAGTGGAAAGTCCAGTAGCTGGAGAAGAACAGCCCCGGGCACCAGCACGTGCTGGGGCCACCCAGATAAAAAGGCAAGTGGGAAGTCCAGTAGCTGGGGAAGAACAGCCCTGGGCACCAGCACGTGCTGGGGCCACCCAGATGGAAAAGGACCTGCGTGTGGGGATGGACATGACCCATCAGTGTGCCCATGCCACAAAGGCAGCTGACGTTACCCTTGGCTGCCTTAGGAGGAGTGCTGCCTGTAGGTAGAGGGGGGTGACCCTTCCCCGCTGCTCAAGCCCTGGTGGGGCCACAACTGAAGTGCTGTGTCTGGTTCTGGGCTCCCCGGTATGAGAGAGATGGACCTACTGGAGAGAGACCAGCGCCCATGCCACAAAGGCAGCTGACGTTACCCTTGGCTGCCTTAGGAGGAGTGCTGCCTGTAGGTAGAGGGGGGTGACCCTTCCCCGCTGCCCAAGCCCTGGTGGGGCCACAACTGAAGTGCTGTGTCTGGTTCTGGGCTCCCCGGTATGAGAGAGATGGACCTACTGGAGAGAGACCAGCAAAGGGCCACAAAGATGATGAAGGGACTGGAGCGTCTTCTCTGAAGAAAGGCTGAGGCAGCTGGGACCGTTCAGCCTGGAGACGAGATGGCTCAGGGGGATCTTACCAATGTGTATAAATACCTGAAGGGAGGGTGCAAAGAGGACAGAGGTGCCCCATGACAGGACCAGAGGAAATGGGGCATGGACTGAAACGCAGGAGCTTCTGAGCATCAGGAAACAGCATTTCACTGAGACGGTGACCAAGCGCTGGCACAGGTTGCCCAGGGAGCTTGTGGAGTCTCCATCCTCAGAGATATTCAAAAGTCATCTGGATACGGTCCTGGGCAACTGGCTCTAGGTGGCCCTGCTCCAGC